AGTCCGGATCTAAAGCTGGAACTAAAGTAAACTAAAGCCTGAAGTAACTCTAAATTAAAGTGGCTGTAAGTAGCAGTGTTACAACTTTGTTTCTGGGTTTTGCATAGCCCTCCTCCCTACCTCCCGTCGCACCCTCCCCCAGAAATCTTTCCTGGACCCGCGTATGAACTTATTCGCAGTCGTGCATCACCACAGAAACAATTTCCTGGCTCTTCTTTCACCATACCAGCATAATTTCTATAAATACCCGTTGATTGAATGATTGAATTTCTCACTGACTTGACCATTTATTTGGGTCCAGAAGTCCTGTCACAGACGCAAATGCTTGGCACTTGCTCAAAATAAATTTTAATAAGTCTTCTGTTCTCTGAAGATTTGGTTGCAAGCACACTGATCGCGTCGAACCTACGATTTTCACTTTCCTCTGTTTCTTTTTTTTCACTTTTTTCATTTTAGGATGTTTATTGAAGACTCTCTAAACCGGAATAATTTAGAGTTAGCTTGGGTGATTTAATTGTCATGTATTTTAAACAGTGAAATTATTGATAAGGCCCGCAAAAGCTCAACACAAAATCCTCTTGCTGTTTTTAGGAACGCTACCGATGCTGAATTATCATATGCACTGTACTGGTGTGCGATGGCCGGCAAATGCAGTTTAGTGCAAGAAGCTGCTGAATTTCTGTCTGAAAAGCTGAAGCCATTTCAGTTTGATTCTGCAAAAACTTGGCTTAGCTCAATTTATGCTTTAGCGATTTGTGAGCGACTTTCACCAGAATTGGCCGAAACTGTCTTACAAGCATCATTCGTTGCAGATGTTCTGCAAGGGTTTGTACTTATCGATGCTCTTCTCAGCTTTCTAGGAATTCATCCCAAATTTTTGTTTGAAATCGTCGTTTGGTTGATTTTATTTGCAGACAACTGATTTTCCAAAAAATTTCACTGTAAACATTTCAGACTAAGCGGGTTCCGAAAATTAATGACAGTAACAACTGTTGCTCAAATGCAGCTCTTTTTGAAAGTTATTTTAAACAAAGCTTCTGAAGGACCTACGCTCAGCATCACGAATCTCATGCAGTTACCGCCGGCAATTCTGGTTTGTTCCAGCTTCTTTGCACCCAAATCCTCTTGCTTTTTTTGCTGGATTTTAGTTCGCTTGGATTAGAATTCCATTTTAATGACCATTGAACAAATTGGTGGATAAGAAAAGCCGTATGCGCCATCTCTTCGGTAATAAATGGCATTTGTTTTGTTAAATTTCTGCATTCTTTAGTGACGCTGTTTTTTCTTTTTTTTTTTTGTAAAATTTTTAATGCCTTCCTTCCAGGACGATATGGCAATGAAATTACGTTATGGTAGAAGTGAAGAAGGGAATGTGCAGTATTTTCATTCGCTATTGCACAAACTGATCCCGGTGAACTCGCACGCCTTTCCTCCAGCTCTTACCGAAGATGGTATTTTCGTGAATGCTGTCATGAAGTTCGATACCAAGACGAATCGCTTCGTGCCACTGTGCCAGTTCGAAAGTGTAAAGGCTTCTCGTCTGGCAGTCATTTATTTGTCTTGGAAAGATAGTACTTTGATGGTATCTGTTTTACTTCAATTGACCAGTTCATAATAATAATAATAATAATAATAATAATAATAATAATAATAATAATAATAATAAT